AAGACCAACAATAATTGAATAGCAAATAATGGGACCATCTTCCCTGGCACTAAAGATATCTTTTTTATGTCTTTTTCAAGTTTCTAGCAAATAATTGAATAGCTTTTGATATTTCCAAAATACAATAATATAAACACGGACTCGTGATTTGAGTTTTTGATTATTGTTTGTTAAACTTATTATTTCGGTTAATAGATTTTGAAATTATGATTTTTTTTTTTTTTTTTAAGAATGTGTAGTTAAAAATTTTGATTTGTGCATATAAAATTATTTTATTGGGAGAATGAGTGATTGAAAATAAGTTTGAAGAAAAATGAGTTTATAAAACAAAGGCTATTTACAAAATTTTCTAGTAATTGTTAAAAATTTGGCGAGATATCAGCAATAATATCAAATGGATCACCAACTGAAAAATTTGCACACATCAAAATCCATTTACTCGTCAACTTCTACATATAAGTTAAGGAATAGTTTGCACAAACTAATATAAAAGCGAATTCCAGCGATAAGACAATATACTGTAATGACATGCTAAAAATGAAAAAAAAAATTAAATTAAAAGAAATGAAAAAAATGAAAGCAAACAATTAAAAATATTTTTATTTAAAATTTACCACCGTTAAGTTCTATCACTTTAAATTATGGGAGGGAGGAATTGAGATTTGTTGATGTCTGGTCCTATTCACATTCGGAGGTCTACATAAATAGTGAAATTGAAAAAAAAAACAATAAAAGGGTTGGAGAAAGGGAGGAACAACGATGGTGGGATCGAGGCGGCATTAATTGAATTTACATAAATTAACTTCAGAAAGCATTTTACACGTGTCAAGAATTGATGAAATTGGGTAGGAACATTGAAATTTCCGAATTAACTGTGTAGAATATTCCTATTCACAAAGTGAAGAATTTTCCAATTGAAAGAGTGACGACTAAGAATTCGTGTATCTTATGATTATATCTTTCAATTTGATAATGAACTAAACAGAGTGACGAAAAAATATTCATTAAGCCACCACCCGAATCTCCTTTCCACGAAGGACCACATTTTTGGCGTTTTGCGATGAGTGTACATAACATCTAGGTAGGCAGTCATATCAATGCAAAACAGTAGAGAATGGAGGTAGGCAGTCATATCTCCCTGTTAGATATAATATTATTGTATAATATTTAGCTTCCTTTTTTGTTTCATTTTCTTGTAATATATAAAACGGGTATGTTTCATTAGAAAAATATAATTTTTTAGGGTTCAATAGTGTCTTGATTTTTCACTCTTTGAATTAATTCACTATATTGGTTCAAGGTATTTCATATTGTTAACAGCCCAAATTTTTGTATTGAAGTTGATTCTTCTCTCAAACTATATTGTACAATTGAAATCCTTACCTTCGTTTCTTCTCATCTAGAAATCCACATTATTATTCCACTTGCATTGTTTTACGTGCATAGTGGCTGTCTAAATCATTTGAATTATTTGGACGGTGATTTCTTTGAATTGTTGTAGCACCGAATTTGGGGACAGCTAAATATGAAGAATAATGCTAGATGACCATAATGTTTCACATAATGGCCACATCTATGGGTACCTTTATGTACCCATAGCATTACCCAAATATGAATATGAATCCAAACCTCCAATAGGGGCCAAACATGTGGCCATTATGTCAAATGATATGGGTACCTTTATGTACCCATAGCATTACCCAAATATGAATATGAATCCAAAACAAAGTCAATAAATGGTACAAAAGTGAAATTCATAAACTCACTACCGCCTTTGTTTTTCGAGAAACCTTTACTTTTATTCATTTAGGGTACATCAACTTTCAACTGCTCTTTTTGTAGGCATCCAAACTTTTAATTTTCTCTAATACATACTCGAACTTTGATCTATTTCTCATCGATATCTAATTTAACTAGACATTTCTTATAGGTATCCAATCTTACATTTTTCCATAATCCATACCTGACTTCTAAATATGTTCCCCTTCCATACCTAATTTAACCGACCACTTCAATTCTACGTGAAATTGATAG